GCCTGTAGGTGTTGGTGTTGCGGCTGTTGCTGGGGGTGTTGGGTCTGCTGGGGCTGCATGTGGGGGTGCTGCGAGTGCATCTGATGGTGCATCTGGGGCTCGACGAGCGGCGGGCTGTCCGGCCCGTCGAGCACGCTGCCCTGGTGATCGACCGCGGCCGCTTGGAGCTTGCAGCTCGCGTAGACGATCGGCGTGGACGGATGCCCGTTAGGGGTCGGCGTGTGCCCCATGTGCCCCATGCCGGGGCTAGGTGAGGTCGACCTGTAACCGCCCATCCCGTCGATGCTGCCGCCGTGCTCCTGTTGGTGCTGGTAGTAGGTCGCGCTCCGCATGTCCATACGATTGTACGGCGGGAACCTGGGGTAAGGCATGTCCTGCTGGCTACCGGCGGCGCCATAATGGTGGCCGGGCACAGCCTGCCTGAGGAGACTCGGGTCACACGGATCCGCGGCTTGCTGAGACTGCTGCTGCACCGACTGCGTCTGCTGGGGCACCTGGACGGCGGCACCGTAGTGCTGCTGATGCTGATGCGGGTGTTCCACCCCGCCATTACGCAGGTCCGGGATATACGAATTCGCGAAGTACGAACTCATGCTACTGTCCCACCTGTCCCACCTGCTAGTGTCACCTCGGTCTTGTTCAGCGCTCTCCGTTTTTTGTCCTTGATCCAGTACTCGTCTCTTTGAACCTTCACCCGACCTTTCGACCCTCCGGACTCTACGGATTTATCACTCTCTTACCCTTCTTGCTTATCTGTTTTGTACTCTTTCTATCTCTTTCTTTGACTCTCTAACTCTCTCTCTTTATTTCTCTTTTTCGTTTGTTTATACACTTTTTGTAGCTCTCTCTCTCTCTCTCTCTTTATCTCTCTCTCTTCTGGACACACTGTCTCACACGTGTTTAGGTGTACGGTATTTATACATAGAATATATATCACTTCCTCGACGACGATCCTCGGATAATTCTTCCGGGATCTATCGATCCTCACGCACTCTCGGATACACGCGCGCACCACTCGTTTTATCACACCACCATCACCGTGAATCACTTGGTTATATCATTTGGAACTCGATCCGGGGTTACTCTCCGATCTCGATTATTTCGCCCGATGCGCTATCACACTTGGACAATTTAAGAAAGAAAGAAACAACCGGAAAACTGGAGCACTACAGAACCGTGCGTCGTCAAGCCGCGTGCTTGAGGGGAGGGACGTGGTTTTAAACTTGTACACGAGGGGAGGGGGAGATGATGGTAATCAGAGTTCTACGTCTTCTTCGGTGTGGTACGTTCGTTCAAAGCGCCAAGCCGCTCCAGACACGCTCCGTTCCTCTGTCCACCCTGCTAACGAAGTTGTGCCGCACCTGTAACACGTGACACAGAAATAATTGGCAACGTGTAATAATGCTGACACAATATTTTTCTTCTTATCAATACCTCCACTGCTAGCAGACTTTTACGCACTTTGTATTCTTTTCGTATTCCTTCATAATACATACGAATGGTATTGGAATGCAACTGTCAATGATTTAGTATCACAGTTCTTATCTCACACTATTATCTTCCTTACATTACGAAGCCTCATTACAATCGCTTTCGAGGAATTCAAAAGATTCAATGTAACACTCAACGCGTCGAGACAACAAAACTGACGAGAACTTCTCGTTCAGAGTGTAGCGCACCGTTTCAATGAAAAACTGTCCAAGTCGGAAGCGGACGCGTCGGTTCGCGCGCGACGACCAGCAAAAGCTACCGTTTGCTGATCTTTGCCCGGCGAACTGAATGAACCGAGCGCAGTTTGACTCTGAGTGACAGAAGGCGAGGTACACACGTGCTCGTCACGGTGACGGCCATCGCACAGACGCCGAACTTGCTTTTGGCCTTCTGCGTGGGCGGGCTAAACGATCGTTAAATTTGGAAAAATTCCGGTCCATTAGTCGAGCATGGCTACCGAACGCCTCGCCGACACTCGTCCCGACCTACTAATTCCTCCGTCCTTTTTTCTCCAGCAACCGTTCTCCAAGAGGGTTACGCGGTCCTCGTTAGTACGTAACTAGAAACGCGCGAGCCTTTTTGCCTTTCGCGCAACTGGCTAGAGAGAATTCCGGGAACGCGTGCTTGGAACGCCGGCGCTGGCGAATTGCGTTGTCTTTTGTGAGAATCTAGAAATTAATCGCGGAAATTGAAAGCTGGAAACAGCGAAGGATCGCTTTCGTTCCGGGAATCGATCGTAGTTTGAAAACTGCAGCGCGAAATTGTCGTCTCGGAATTCGAAGTTCGCGGGGAAAGTCAGCGTCGCGTGAATCCTGGAGATCGAAGGATCCGCGTCGGTCCTTTATCGGCGGCATCGGACCTTCCGAACCGATCTTCCGATCGCGGCTCGGAGACCTTCCCTACCGACCGCGCGTCGCGAGTTATGCTCGGCCTGAAGTTGGCAGTTTGACTTACGGCCTCGTGCAGACTGGAGCACGAGTCTGTGTACCGATTGTTTCATACTACTTGCCGGAACGGCGGGAAGTTCGGGGAGTAACCAGTAAATTGGCCGTGGAACCTTTTTCCCTTTGAAGTAGCGATGGCTTTGAGACGCTGGAAGCGATTCGTTGAACACGTGATATTAACGAGCTTGTGAACGACTTCAGCTGATTTCTCTGACAAATCGCAGTCCCTTTAATTTACCTCCCAGACTAGCTAAACCTAAGTATAACCCAGAAACTCCCTAAAGCGTGAAAATATTTTAAAAAAATCACTAAAATCTCAAAACCTAAACGAAACTCGCAAAGACTATAGCAGAATCATCGCGAAGCAGGCCGTCATCGAGACCCAGACGAACGTTCAACCTGCGAAAAACCGCAGCGGAGAAAGAAGCGAATGTTCACCGCTATCGACGCCGATAAAAGGAAAAGAACGGCCTCGGAAAGAGGGAATAGAATGCACGGGTGCGACGGTATTGTGGGCAGCACGGTGGTCGTGTTGGTGATGCTATACAGAGTGAAAGAGAAAGAGCCGGCGAAGAGGAGAATGTAGGAAGAGGCGCGGGGGCGGATGTACACGGGATCGAAAAGGGGGAAGAGGCGAAAGGCACGGGGTGGGTGGCAGGTTGAAGGGTTCGGGCGGAGGTGGGGCCCTTGGGAGTTTGCTGTACACGAGAATGGGTCGGACGCGGGACGATCGCGATTAACATTCCGGCCGCTAGCTCGCTGTTCGCGCGGCGCTTTCATTAATTCCAGCGTATTGATTCCCCGGATTGATGAATGGCCGCCGATAGCGATTCCATGCGCTCCGTACTCCCCCGACTCGCTCCCCCGGCCGCCCGGCTGGCCCGGATCGCGTATAAATTCTGCCTCTCGCAGGATTTTAACTCAATTCCCCGGTTTACGGGCTCGCCTTTACCGTATTCTTTCCACCGAAACAGCCTTGTCCCCGCGGAACGTATGTTCCCCCTTATTTATTCAGCTCTCTCCCCGCGCCGATGGAGATACAGGCCTTATGCCCCGGCCCCCGTCGAAGGGAACGAGCGACGCGTAACCCTTCTTCCGTCCAAGCGGCATGCTCGTTCCACCGTTCCGTTCTTTCCTCCATTCTTTCTTTCTTTCTTTCTTCTCCCTACTCCGACGACCTTTTCGCCGCGAGCTCGGAGCACTCGCGAGCCGCTGCGCGATTAAACGCGATCGCTGTTACGCGAGCCGTGTAATAAACAGTTGCGAATGGAAAACGTCACGCCCCGGTATTATCGGGAACGTCCGTGTTTCATTGTTTTCCGCTGAAAACCGTTTTTTCACCCCTCCGCCCCGCCGCGGAATTTAATTACGAGAACCGGCGGCTCTTGAACGGAAATCTATTTCCGGTCGATGAAAACGTTCGGGAAATTGTATCGTGGATCCTTTTTTGTAGGGAAGTTTGATGGGGCGACGAGGGTGTGTATTTGAGGATTTTAAGATTTTCAAGGACGCAATGGCGATGGTTCGGTCTTTGAACGGTGGTGACACCACAAGGAAAGGACATAAACTAACAAGCCGTTTAAAGGTCTAAGGAGTTCATATTATTGCCGACAGATGGCGAGAGCGATAGCTGGAAGAAGTGGAAAAAACGGGGTGGAGCGTGTCTGACAGCTGGGTGGGTTCGGGGCCAAGGTGATTGAAAACAGGGTGGAGCGTCACGTGACGCCATAGCTGGATATGGAAGTGACGTCAGGCAGCTATGATGGCCTCTAGTTAACAAAATGGCTCCTGCCGGGGATTTCTTTGTCTCCCGCAGCCGATGTTCCTAGCACGCCGCTACGAGGGAACGTACGTGCTCCGTTTCAGTGAATTATGATTCCTGATGCGAGGGGACACCCTGTTTATTCATGGAACTGTTGAAAATCGGAGGAAAAGAGATTTTCTTCGAACGTAATAACCGAAGGAACCGGTTCCTTGTTCAGAAAACTACAAGCAAACGGAAAGAACGAATAATATAATGAATTCGAAATGAATTCGTGACTGTAATGAATTTCGTAAATCCTCAGTCTCAATAAAAATGAATGAAGCTTGCGATATAGTACACCGCGTACAATCACTGGAGCACAAGGGCAATTTATTTGCGAACAAACACTGTGTAACGTATGATATATGAAAGAATCGTTGGACAAACCATTGAGCGATCAAAATTGTTATAGATTTAACAGATTACGTCGACTTTCGTATACAAAAATAATCTCTTTTTATCCCGAACAGAACAAACAATGTTAATACCCGATATTTGCGTCACAATTAAAACGAACGCGTTCGATATTGATTATTCGATGATCGAACAATTATATAACAATGACATAAATATCTGTTTGTTTAAGAAGAACACGAGCCTACGACAAGAAGAGCGGGGAAAAAAGTGACGGTATTAACAGGCTCATAAACTACGACCGCTCATTTCAATACAATTATCGTGTTACCCGCGATAAACTTAATGGCCGTTAATCGAGGAACAAACCGTCGGCGCGGTAGGTAATCGAAGAGTATCGGGAGCTCCGACGAACGGTGCAGATGAAACGGACCGATTATTTAAACGGCGCGATATCGCGGCCCGGCTGGTCTACTAAAAATTGTCCGCTCGTAAATGGTGGCAGGATTTGACGTTTATGGGGCCCGTAGCTCGTGCCAGCCGTTCGCACGCCGTAAAACAGTCGTAAACTAAAGGAGCTCGTAAAATTGGGAACCCTCGAGCGAGCCACCTACGATACCGAGGTCCCGAAAAGGGAAAAAAGGAAGGCAGAAAATTGTGACCCAGTACACGCGCTCTTGTTCCGGCCTGGTTCCCGTGACGGGGAATTTCCTGTTCCTTTCGTTGCACTTTTCGAACATCTTGTCGATATTAATAACCCCGATAAAAGCAGCTCTATCGTTGCCGCGGTTGTCCGAAGAGAATGAAGAACTGTTTATTAACATCCGATCGTTGATTCTATAGAATTATCTTACACTCGTATCGTAATGCATCATAAAATCGCTATTGCTCTTTTTACGTTCAACGCGTGCAAACTATATGATTAGCGATGATTTGTATTCAAACAACAACTAACGTATCTAATTACGATACCATTGACAGACGGCAGCGTCACGGACGCATGGATCTCGGGAATTCTCAGCGTCGGAAAACGCATTGAGCCGCTTATCGTGCAACCGAGATGAAAAAGAAAAAATAAAACTCGAACACCCATGAACGTTATATAGTAACGCTAACTTCATATCATAATGAATATTTATCGTCAATTTTGCTAAACACATCGGTATCGCGTTAATCTAATTAGGGATTAATCGCTGTCGGTGTATAACTGAATTAATCAGCGGCCGTTAATTGAAAATCCGCGTAGTAATAACTGGACGGGCGTTCAACGGGACCGGTTCGCCGCAGCGACTCCTAACGACCGGAGAATTCTCGACGGCAATTCAAGCCACCACGACCCAATTCACTCGGCCAATCCGAACGGAATAATTATCTGGTTTTTTCCTTGCCTAATAACCGACTTTATTTGTAGCAAATTAGCTGCTCAGCTGCGCGTTTATCGCCGCCAGAAATCAGGCTCGTCTCCATCCTCTTTAAAGCCGGCGCGCCGCGCTGCGGGCGACGCGGGGGAGACGGGAAACGAAACGGACAGAGAAAGAGGGAGAGAAAGCGAGGCAGATAAAACGCCGGACAGAGAAAGTCGACGATAATTGTTCGTTGAAAAAGGGAAAACGTATTACCAGCTTCTCACGCAGCTAGAAATCACAATAACCGCTGAGAATCGAAGGAATTCCGATTCAACTGTCTCTCCTCGCCCGATGCCGAGCTTCGCGTTATTTTCAGCTAATTGAGCTCGCCGAGTTCGCTTTCGTTTCACGTGTTTGCGGAT